GTAATGTTTACAACATGAGCGGCCGTGTTGTATGGGAAATTACAATCTCGAGCCGCAGGCGAGAGATTGTAATTCCCATACAACACGGACGCGAATGTTGTAAACGACTTATAAAACTCCAACACAAATTAACATGAATTACAGTGAGATAAATGACAAAAAATGGCAATTAAGGAAACTGCTGAGTTGAGTCGCTATTAAGCATGCGCAATTTACTGCAACACAGAACATTTTGAATAATTATCCATCCCACATGGAAAGCAAGCCATCTGTTGCATAAGCCAGTTCTGTTATCCGTCTTTGATTGCTTCAAAACCTAGTGAAGGTCTATGATGCGACACTAAAACTGAGACCTTTGCTAGTGTTGGGTTGTCTCAAGGTGACGACCGTGTTGTAAATCTTATACAACACTAGTGTTGTATCACAGTGTTGTATCTGATTTACAAGGTCAATCACCTGATGAAATGGACAACCCTTATTGGAGTAATAGCTCATGCATTATTAATAAGTTTTATAATATGAATTACAATTCATATTAGTAAAAAATATAGAGAAAATAATAGAATATTGAATAGATAACAACTAATAGAATTGAATAGAAATGTAGGTTAACAGTTAATAGACAAAAACTGGTAAAAAAAGATTGAGTATTTAGTACTGCTGAAAATACGAATATATCTGATTGTTTTTAGGTATTAACTACTGCGCCAATTCATCGTGTTCACATCTGTGTTTACTAGTACCCAATGGTTATACTTGTCGATGTCCAATTGGAATGGCGCTACTTGCCGACAAAACCAACTGTGGAGGTTTGTCGTGGAACTTTAACTTGATAAAATCATTATTGCTGAGTTAAAAACCGACTTTAAAATGTTGTGCTGTAGTGACCATGTACGAAAGAATTGTAGACGAGGCTTCGGGGAAATACATTTTTTCCATTTTTTTTTCATTTTTTCCCGGAGCCTCGCCCGCAATTCTTTTGTACGTGGTTATTCAACGTTTCATTATGCATCAATCAAAACCGCCAACCTCCAACAACATTATAGCTGTGGGCTTAACACTATTTTAACAGTCAGGAAGGCGATTGAATTCAATCTTAGATTAAAAAAAACGATCTGTTTAGTAATCTTTTTTGGCCTGTAAAGACCGGGAATGACTTCATTGCTGAAATTTTAATTTCCTCTATATAGTCCCCGATAACTTGTGTAATATCATATCAATCTTCTAATAATATACTTCTAACTATTAATGTTAAAACTTTTAGATGACTTCAACACCCTTCTAGTAGCGACCAATCAAGGAGAAGTSCGGGGCATATCCTTGGATCCCAACAATACAGTAGAYACKATTATATCGRCTTTTCAACTCAGCCATGCTGTAGCGGTTGATTTTGACTACGARCTTGGTTTGGTTTATTGGTCTGATATACGTGAAGGCACCATATCAAGAGTTTTTATCAATGGGTCGTCAAAAGAGACTATTATAAGAGGTATGTACTAATGAAATACAATTTAGCATGCTATACACTTTTGTACTCTTTATTGTGTACTTTTTTCTTTTTCTTTTTGATATATCACACATCATAGTTCACTTTTACTGTTAAACTTAGGCCCAGATTTAGGCCCAGACTGTACGCCGAACTTCACACGTGCCAAATACATTTCCTACATTATTGTTGTCGACTAAAGTTAATTAATATTAATTAATTAATTAAATTATTATTAATTATTTATTAATTAATAATGATTACGGCATTTGACTGAATATAAATTTGTCAGCTTTTTAGAACTGAATCTTATATTTCTCCTTTTTTTTTTGTAATTCCATCTTTTTTTCTTGGAAATTTTTGTCTTATCAGAAACGAATTCTTGTGATATTTTTACTCTCTTTTCGAACGTGAATGAAAGATTGATTGAGTGATTGACTGTGTTTTCAATATGGCGGACAAGACAGAAGACTTTTTCATACACTRTCTTTCATACGAAGAAGTATGTATTTAAGAAGTATAAAACGACGCCTGTGTCTCTGTCCTCTGATATAAACACGGTGGGAGTTCGRAAAWCACGAGAGAAGCAARCTTAGGAACACGAGCGTAGCGAGTGTTTCTCTTCCTTCTTCTCTTGCTTATTTGACACAAGTGAGATGCAACATAGAATTCAACTGAAATAACGTGATTTGTTCAATTGTTTTTCAACAGACGTTGGGAGTCCTAAACCAGAAGGAATCGCAGTGGACTGGATCGCTAARAACATTTACTGGACAGATGTCAATCGCAAACTAATAGGTGTYGCTAGGGCTGATGGATCTTTTCCCATCATTCTAATTAAAAAAAGCATTTCCAAGCCAAGAGATATTGTTGTACATCCTGTCAAAGGGTAAGAATTCAACATATTCTTTTGAAAGTACCGCTTGCTCTCAATMACGTGATGTATTTTGATGTAATTTAGACATGTCGAAAACGTTTTAAACGAATCAGTCTWTAGTTAAAGTGCACATGACACCTTTTAGAAAATCACGCTGAAAAGCACTTCTGTGAAGCGAGAAATAGATTTTGAATTGCATTTTCTGAGTTGTAGAAATTGGAAAATTGAAAATGCAAATGAAGTGACGTCAACTAAGGAGTTAAGTTAGTCCAGACTTTTTACATTGTTTATGTTATGGTGTTCTTGGTTGAAGAGCTCAAATCATCAATCATAGTTATAATTGAGACCTGAAAATGCCTTTTTCAAATGTAACAAAAAGAATASCATCCTCTTTCATGATTTTGTATATTAAATTAAGTTTCAATTGCCTATAACTTAGAAATTAAATTTCAAATTAACTTCTTTCTTCATAGATGCACTTGGCAGCATTTACTCTTTTAGATGAGAATGAATTTCTAATGGTGTCATGTGTACTTTTAACGAAGCCATTTTGTGTACTTTTAACGAAGCCATTTTATACAGCAAAGCATGATGGAAGATGTTGTTTTCGCGCTTTTTTGTGTCCGTTTAAATGCTAAGTAACGTCTTTTTTTCTATTTTCACCTTTCTATTTTTCACCAGATTACTGTATTGGTCTGACTGGGACAAATCGTCTCCTAGGATCGAGCAAAGTAGTCTTGATGGCTCAGCTCGACGTGTGTTCGTTAAAAAGGGTCTTGGATATATTAACGGACTGACCATTGACTACTCGCAATCTCAGTTGTATTGGTGTGATGCTGGGAAAGATTCAATTGAAAGGATTGGCTTGGATGGCACTGGAAGGTGTGTTTAGTTGTGATAGTTATTTGGCTATGTTTCTCTTCTGAAGGAGGAATTTTTAAATCCTCTTCTTTGATGAGTCGTTATCCAAGGTTGTGGATAATTACATGCATATTAACTTG